ACTACATTTGACAACCAGTCTGCATACCTGCATGTCCGAATGAATCCAGCTTTTACCAGCCGCTCAATTTCTTCTTTCACCTTCAAAGTGACCTCTGCAGACATGCATATGGGCAGCTGTTTATACGGTCTGAATCCTTTTGCAATTGGCAGTTTATGTTCCACCAATTTCCGATCCAGACCTGGCATTTCTGAGTAATCCCAAGCAAAACAGTCTTTAAATTCATGCAAAAGTCTGACAATTTTATCTCGTGTCTGCGGCTCAAGGGAGCCGCTGACAAATGTTACCTTTGGCTCACTTTCAGACCCTAGATTGATCTCTTCCAGTGGGTCTTGAACTTCAGCTTTTAAATCATCCAACTTGGCTGGGGCCAGATCCAACTCTTCCAAAGTTATTTCATCACCTTGGTCTGCCTCCTCACCTTCATGAACAATTTCAGACCTGTCTACTTGAACTGCTTTTTTAGCAAAATAGGCCGCTAATTTCTTTGTTATCTCCAACACGGCCTTTTCTCTTTCCTGTCTCAAACGAGCTTGCTTCATTAGATTTCTTCAATTTTTAGTTTCCCCTTCGGCCTATAAGAAATTATTGTTGTTGGCCGAAGAAGTTCATCACAGACTTCCTCCACAGCACGCTTAGACAAAGACGGTCTGCTGCATGCTGTTATCCCAATCGGTTTCCCATGTCTATCCATCCCAAAAAACCGAATGGTACCAATGTCCTCTTCATAATATCTAGCCTCCACCAGGTGAGTGTTGGCTGAAAAAGGCTTATCATCTGCAGACACGACCTCAGCCTTGCCACCAGTCCAGAAAATCAGTTTCTGGTGAAGTGAAGAAGGGACACACCAACTTGAATGAATCTAGTCATGCCCCAAAAGTGCATTATAAGTAGCAACAGTATCCACCACAAAAAACGCAGACATCAGTGTCCTATTTCCTACTGTTAATTCAACAGGCAGCACACCCATTGAATGATTCACCCCTCCTGTAAAATCACTAATTGTAACTTTAGTATGCACTAAATCATCAAGAGACTTGCCTATTTTGTAGAGCATTCAAGTTGGAAGGACATTGACTGCAGCTCCATTATCCACCAAGACACGGTTGATTGGAGTCCCATCCATGTGAGCATTGATATAAAATGGCCTAATGTGTCTGGCCATCTTTTCTTCTGGTTTTTCAAACACAATTTTGTCAGCCATGTCCTCCTCTTAATCGTCCTGAGCTGGAACAACAATTACCTCTTCTTCTGTCTGTTCTGGGAACTCACAGACGATTGGTTCCTCCTCCTTCTTGGCTTGGAAAACCAAGGGTAATGTCAGCACCAGACATGACAAATTCACTGAGAATTCCCCCAAATGAATAGTGCCATCTTCTTTTGATTCAGATCCACGATTCCCAGACTGTTCTGGTGCTTCAAAAGTTGCTTTCAAAATTCCGTCTGGACTCACAATGACAGACGCCACCTTTGGAGAAGCTGAAGATTGGTCATCCTCCTTCTGTAGAGTCTGGGTTACAACCTCCTTTTTCTCTTTTCTCACCCAGACCATATTCCTTTTGGTAGGTTGGCGTGGTCTGCGAGATGAACTTCCCTCAGCCTCCACCTGCTTCTGGTGTCTTTTTCGCTCTTCAGCCCTCTTGTGCTGCAGTCTGCGCCTCAAGGTTCTGGGATTCTGGGCTGGAAACTTAGGATGACTAATTTTCTCCTATCGTCTGGAAGGTAACCTAAGTGGCGGTTTGACCATCCTTTGAGATCTAGTACTAGTTGAATAACGTCTGGCACCTTCTGGACTGAAGTTCCTGGTCACAGTGATCCTTTCTTGCCTCCCGAGCCTCTGCTAGTCTGACCTGACGCTCCTGCTATGTCTGGATCTCTATGCCTCAAGCACCCACCTCAAGTCTTCGACAGCAAGGTTTCTTTGAGCATAAGGCAGACTGCGATTTCTGGCAGCACTCCTGAGGTCTACAACATTCACGCCCACAGACACAGCTAGAAAAGGATCTGCATCTACTCCCATGGTTTCCTTCGCTTTGTCTGGAAATTTTAAGATACCCTTATCAATCTTTTCTTGCAAGATATTACGAAAAATAAGACAATTATCAGTAGAATGCTTCCATGAATTATGAAATTTGCAATAATCTCTAGCTCCGATTTCAGCCGCTGTCGAGATTTTATGTCCCGGCGGCAGCTTAATCAGACCACTCTTTTTAAGGTGGTCAAATATATCACTAGCTTTTGACACATCAAAAGCATACTATTTTCCAGCCTCACCAACATAACGTCTCACAGACTTCTCAGGCTGGTGAGTTGGTTTGACAAGGTCTGGACAAACAACAGGCTTGTCTGTAACCACCTCAGCCACATCAAGATCAAAATTAGGATCAGTTTAATAGGTTCCATGTGATGCAGCCTTCTTTTGAACATCTTCTTTCAGTAGATTTTCATACCGAGCCACTTTATAAGACAATTCATAGAAGTCTCGGAATTCCATCCTTTCAAATTTCTTTCGGAGCTCAATGTCCAGACCATTCTAAGCCAGCTTGACAAATTCTTGTTCTGGTAGTGCAACTCTACATTTCAATCTGGCTCTCCAAAACCTAGTAAGGAATGCCTCAGACGACTCTCCAGGCTTTTGGGCTAACCTCGACAAGTCTGCCATAGACACTTCTGGTTCACAATGATAGAATTGAGTATGAAACAAGTCCTCCATTTGCCTCCAAGAGTAGACTGAATTTTGAGGCAGATTGAGGTACCAAGTAAGGGCTGTTCTAGTCAAAGAGCTAGGGAACAGTCTGAGTTTCAAGTTATCATCTCCAGACGCCTCTCCACATTGTATTGTGAAGTGTCCAATATGTTCAATAGTGGACTGACCAACCTCACTAGAAAATAAAGTGAACTCAGGCACTTTAAAACCCCTTGGAAAAGGATTTTCATGATCAATGATGTCTGGATAAGGCTTCCTGTAGGCTGGACGCACCAATGGTCTCAAGGCTGGTCCATAGGTTTCTTGTACCAAATCTATTAGCTGATCTCTATTGAATAATTGAGTTGGGTGATTCTGCAGACCACGCTGTACCGACTGGGCTGGAGGAACTTGCGGCTGGAAAAAATCCCTTAGGTAGGGTTGATGATGAGGACCCACATTTCCCTTCCTACCTGGCGGAACATACCTATGCTGAGGTTGATGGCCATGGTCTGCAACAGGAGCAGCAACCTCCATTGGTTCATGCTGTCTTTGTCCTTCACCCATGAAGAAATTTTGCTATTGAATGTTAGGATGAGGCTGATTCCCTTGCCCCCCGAGTGCTGGGATTGGGGCTTCCTAAATCTGTCTGGGCATTTCAACGACTAGAGGAGGAATCTCAGGTCTGGGCTGTCGCACTTGCTCAACCACTTGTTCTGAAACAACCTGCAGTGTTCTGCGACTTTCTTCCCCAGTTTCTCGCATCACCCTAGTGCCTTCCTCAAAAACCCGTCTCATCTCTTCTATACATTGTCTAACTAACTCTTCTTGACGTTTGGAAGATTCTGTTTGACTGTCAACAAGTCTCCGCATAGCCTGGTTCTGTTCTTTGAATGCTAAATCCAGACGTTCAGTCATACCTCTAAACATATTACTTGATTCAGCAAAGTCACCTCCACGGTCTGCTTCTTTCTCCTTAAACACTGGATTCCCATAGGACCGTTCTGCTATAGGTGACACTGGGAGAAAAGTGATGGGATCATTTTCGCCCTCAGAGTGGAGTGGACTGTCGTCTGCATGGTCAGCCTGGGCTGGCTGTACCTCTTTGTCTCTACTCTTTCTCGGTGGCATGGTTCCAGACGCTTCTGGATGTATATTTGCTGGTCCCACCGGGCGCGCCAACAAAGGATTGTTTCCTCAAAAATCCTCAGCCGGCCTTTACCACGTGAGTTGGATGTTAGGCATGCCACTTGCTTTGTCTAAAAACAAGAAAATAGGATTTTCCAGACGACCCTTCTCCTTTCCAACTGTCGACCTCCAATGGGATGGCTGGAAATAACGTTTGTGAAATCAATTGTACCCCCAGACGATGTTGCAAAACAGAGGGTAGAGCTCTGCAAAATGGGTTACTAATTGCCTTGGAAACCTCCAAGGACTTCACAACTAGACAAGTG